ATCTTTTGCTTTTCGTGTCTGCGGCGGGGTGGTATTGCACTTATATTTGAAGGTTTGACTTTTCTCTTAAAAACTGGAAAATTCGGATTGTTTTAATTCTGAATTTCAAAAGGGACCTGGGTCTTTTGCAACCTGCAATCTTATCTCGTTGCCGAGCGTTTGATCACCTCAAATAATTGACAAAAGTAGAATTTTCTGTTTTGTTTATTTTCCTGAAGCTCCTCAATCTGCCCATTTTTATGTGTGGAATTAAATTTCAGGTTTTGGAAGCAGAGGTAGTCCTCGGTTTACAACTATTCGTTTAGCGACCATTTGAAGCGACAACAGCACTGAAAAAGTGACCTGCAACCAGTCCTTGTAGTTGCGACTGTTGCAGCATTCCCACAATCACTTGGTCAAAATTCAGGCAGTTGGCAACCAGCCTGCATTTATGACTGTTGCAGAATCTTGGGGGGGAGGATCAAGTGATCATCGTTTGCAGCCTTCCCAGCTGACTTCTGACAAGCAAAGTCAATGGGGGGAGATGAACTTGTTTAACAACTGCATGATTCCCTTAACAACTGCATGATTCCCTTAACAACTGCAGTGATTGGCTTAACAACTGTAGCAAAAAAAAAAAGATTGCAGAATTGGGCGCGACTCGCTTAACAACCACTTTGCTTAGCAATGGAAATTGTGGTCTCAGTTGTGGTCGTAAGTCAAGGACTACCTGCAGCCTGGAAAGGTGAATTCTAGAACAAATTTGATGCAGGGAGGGCTGTTGTTCCAGATGCCCTGTGGCCTCCAAGGTGGAACGACCTCCTCGTATTGGAGACTTCTCAACCAGAGGGACATGCAAGAGAACTACGAGACTCTGATCTCTCTGGGTAAGGATCAATTTCTCTGAGTTAATATGCAAAGCTAAGGAACCGCTCTACAGCAGAGGCCCCCAACTTTTGGGGCACCAGGGACTGGTTCTGTGGAGAAAGATTTTTCTGCGGACCAGAGGGGGCGCGGTTTTACGTGCATCCACATGGTGCCAGCCAATCTGCCCAAGGTCCTAATGGGATCTGTCACACTTTTTTCTTGTTAGCAGAAGAGATGGCAATCACCCTGCCCCGAATCACTGCACTAGCTGAGCCCCACCGGAGAGGGTTGCCGTCAGGTAAGACTAGTGGATTTTATGATCCTGCACCCCGAACAAAAGTGATTTTCTGTGCTTCAGGTGCAATTACCAACAACTGCTCTGTTCTCCACTTCTGCATAAAGCTTATGTGAATAAACTTAGGTGCGTGTATATGTGAAAGTGTGATAATAACAAGAAACAAGAAAGAAAAATACTGGCCTGTTTTTGGTCCAAGATAATCAATCTCAGTCATGCATTCCTCACTAAAAATATATTTTTTAAACTTTTCAATCCAATATTTAAATATAAAAAGTGTACTGGATCATGCCAAAGAGCTCTCTTGGCACACTTCCTGTTTCCCAGAATGGCCAAGAAGATAATATTAAGACATGTAGTTCTCAAGAATAGAAAACTTCTGCTACTGGTGGTAGGATATGCAGCTGTCTAAATTGCCACCTCTGGTTCCTGTTTTCCAGCAATTGTTTTTTTAGACACATCCTATCTTTTTGAATATTTGAGATGATTTATGACAATGTGAACTAGTAACCTTAGGCTGGATTAGGCCCCAGACTTCCTCCAGTCCCCATTTAGAATATTTTAAGTTGATTGCCATCACTATAGCTACGGCAGTGGGTATCATAGTTCAGCTATGTCCTTCTCTGAGTCAACAAAGCCAATTTCTGTATATATGTGGTGGAATGTAGTCTGGAGTCCCTGGAGGCAAAAAGGCAGCAGAGTTTGGAATGTCTGGTTGGCAGAAAGAGGGTGAAGACAGACCCTCCCTATCAGCACACAGAATATATACCTTTAGTTATGCAGGTAGTTGGTTTAGTCTGACAAGATTCTGCCTGTAGGCGAACAAAATACTCAGCTGTTGCAACATCCCCATGATCAGAATTTGAATGCTTGACAACTGGCATGTATTTATGACGGGTGCAGTGTCCCAGGATCATGTGATCCCCTTTTCTGACCTTCTGACCAGCAAAGTCATTGGGGAAGCCAGATTCACTTAACAACCGTGGTACTAACTTAACAACTGTAGTGATTCACTTAACAACTGTAGCAAGAAAGGTTGTAAAATGGGGCAAAACTCAACAAATGTTTCACTTAGCAACAGAAATTTTGAGCTCAATTGTGGCCATATATCGAAGACGACCTGTATTAAAGCTTTTCCTTGCCAGCAGGATTTCCACTTTCTAAATCTGATCTGCTCTCCTGGATGGATCGAGAAGATTCATGGATTCCAGAACTTCAGGCGTGTGAGGAAAGGACAATGCCAGCTCAGATAAATCCAGGTGAGAATTGTGGTTTGTTTATTTTTAAATATACAGGTAGTCCACGGCTTACAACTGGTTGCTTAGCAATTATTCAGAGTTATGACCTACCAGAAAAGGAGGACTTATGACCTGGATCTAGAGTTCCAGTGGTCAGGCCCCATCCTCTGGTCACGTGATTGTACTTTGGGCAATCAACAACATGGCTGCCTTTACGGCTGTTTGGAGTCACGTGACCGCATTTTACAATGGTTTTGTCGAGAACCAGCACTTATTCCAGTTTTCAGCAAAACCATAACAAACAATGGATTCACACTTACCATCACCATGTTCATTTAATCTACAAAGTTATAAAATTGTTTTGTGACCATCATGACATATGACTATTATGGGCAGGCTCCATTGCAGTCATATGATGAAGATTTCCTGCATGGGATGGAGTTTCACTGTGTAAAGGAAAAGTTGTGTTTGTCACCATCCATGCTAGATTCTGGCACAGAAACCCTGAACAGTGTGATAGAGCAGCTATTCATATTACATTTAT